GCCCCGCCCCCGGGTCCCTAAGGCAGCTGCAGTGGAGGAGGCAGGAGCTCAGGTACAGTGGAGGTCTCCCTGAGGCGCAGGAGAGGCCCAGCTCACCTGGAACGGGCGACGGGAGGGGGGGGTTCCACGCGGGTGCACTTGTGCTTCGGGGGAACGAGGGAGGCCAAACCCAAACCCAGACAGGACCGAGCTCCCCGCCCAGGAACTTGGCCCACCCATGAGACCAGCCTGGGGGCCGGGGGTCAGCAATTCTTCTAGGGGCCGGCGGCTGCTCAACGTGGGGGGTCTGAATGCCCATTGAGATGACGGGTATTTCTGCAGGTAAGATAAGTGGACTGTCCCCAACGTATGGCAACAGATTTCTTGGCTTATGGGGACCGGGAGGGGAAGGGCAGAGGATACGGGTTTCATTCCGAGATGACAGAGGGGCCGAGTTAAACGGCTTAACCCACCAGTTAGAAATCAACGTCGTCTTACGCATTAGACACACCCACACGCACGCCAGGAAAAGCAGCTCAGGAAACGAGGGGGCTGGGGGCTGCCCCCCGAGGGGGACGTCGAGAATGGCCTGCGGGCTGGGCTCTGCAGACTGCTCCCCGGGGTGCCCGGGCCGGCGGCAGCATCCAGGGGGCCGAGAGGAAGCAGCTTTCGTTTGGGGTGCCTCCCAGGCTCACTGCCCGCAGGGGGGCCACTTCCCCTTCCCTCAGCCTCAAACACAATTTGGCAGAAGCAACGCTAGTCTGGGGGGGGGGCGCGCCCCTCTGCCTGGACAACAGAGGTTATCTGGCCTACACGTCACTTTTCACGGCTTTCTGGAGCATCCGAGTGACGCAGGGTGGCCGCGAGCGAAAGGGGGGCCGAGAAGGAAGGAAGGCGGCCGAGAGGGGGCGTCTGGCAGGTCCTGGTCCCTCGTCGCCGAGGGGTGGGGGCGCCTACTGTAGCAAGGAGCACACAGGCCACGTGAAGAAATTCTCTGGTTTTACCTGTGGCTTCCCTCCAGACCCCCTCAGCAGAGTCTGAATGGCAACGCCACGGTCCTGTGGCGGGACAGGGGACGTCCAAGTTAAGGCTTCTGGTCAAAGAAAGAGATTCCAGATGATGCTGTGAGCGGAGGCTGCAGGGAAATGCTTCCTAGTGACTCTCCCGTCCCGCCTAGGACACGAAGACCCGGGGGTTCTTTTAACCCAGCGTGACGTGTCCGTGACCTTTACTTTAGCTCGGAGCCGGCATCGGTGCCACGGGAAAGGAAAAGCCCGTCGCATCCCAGACGTCTGCTGCCCGCGAACACAAGCAAGAGCGTGCGCATTGTCCCCCTGGCGCTGCCGGGGGACCGCGAGTGACACAGTGACAAAGCCGCTCTCATTCGGATGCCCCAGGAGCTGGGCTCTGATGAAGGCAGCACTTGGAGGGTGAAAGTCTGAGCTGGGGGGGGGTCCTGCCCGGGGAACTCTCAATGCTCCCCTGACTCATGCAGAACGGGGGGCCTCGCCTCGTTCCCACGTGCACCTGCCCTAGTCCCGCGACCAGCCCCGAACAGCGAGGACACTGGCGTGAGGATGGACACTCGAGAGAAGCCAGACACAGGCAAGGGCAAGATCAGGGGTCTTCACCAGCGAAGCCGAGGCAGCAGGTCCCTCTCCAGGTCCCCTCGAGAGGGACTTAAAATCAGATGAAACAGAGCGTTCAGATGCGCTCTGAAAATCCAGCCAGGCCCTAGCCCGGGCAGGACGCTGATCGCAAGAGCACTCGCGGGCCCCCAGGAGTGAGTGGCTTCAGGAAGAGGGACAGGAGGGCTGCGGGGAGGAAGAAGCTGACCTGCATACAAAACGCGCTCCCCTGAGTCCGGTGCCCGCAGGCTCAATGCCCCCCGCTCTCATTCAGGGGCAGACAAGAATCTCCCTGTCAGACGGCCAGAGGCCCTCATTGCCATGCCCGGGAGCCTGCCGCCTGCACAAAGGGCTTCAGTGGGTGTCGTGTGAGTGCCACTCAGAGTCACGCATCGCCAAGGCTGCAGCTGGGACACAGCCCTCCAAGGCCGGGGGAGGGGGGCAAATTCCGGGGTGTGGCAACAAGGAGATGCCCAACCCTGCCTCTCCCCCATGGGCCTCCTGGTCTGCCGGCCCGTGCACCCCGGGCTGACAACTGGGACCTGGCCGGGACTTTCTGAGAACAGGTCAAGAGAGGTGGCCCGAGGCCGATGACAAGGAGCCTCTGGCCTCCTGGGACGGCCACACAAACCCATCCAGGCATTGCTCCGTTCACCTAATCTCACAAAAAGCCTCAAGCAATGAAGGTCGTCCTGGGGATATGACGGCGGGTGTCCTAGATCACAGCCGCGGCTGTCGGGGAGGGGACGCGGGGGGC